GCTCGGCTCAGCCCCGGCAGCGAGCAGGGGCGCAGAGTGGGAAAGTAGGAATTGGAACCGGCTGTGGCTGCCTCCCAGCCACATGGGTTGCAGATAGAGCTGCTCATCGGGGAGGGGGAAGGGAACAGAAGTAAACTAGACGTCGTCTGCCCGCCCCACCTCTTTTTTTTTTTTTTTTTTTTTTTTTCCCTTGTATTTAGAAACCTGCCAAAAGCAATAGTTACGGTTTACCACGGACTGAGGACTTTTCTTTGTGTTGAGCAAATGGCAATCAGAGGACTAAGCCTCCTGTAGTACATAAAGGAATGAATTTTCATTCTTTCTCTGTACCGTCCTGCCCACTAGGTTCCCGAAAACGCTGCCAATGAGGATGCAATTGAACATGGCTCCAGCTCCATGAGGGGCTCGTCAGAATGATCCAGATGTTCTTCAGAAATTCCCCTTTTAAAGATTCTTCTTGCCCAGTAAGACACAAATTCAGAGCAAAAAGAAGGTGTTGGAAAGCACACTGAAAACGAAACATAATGGGTACCCATCCTTTCAATGACTTGCCTTTCCTTTTGGCATTTTTTGTTTTTCTAAAGCATCGCCAATCGAGTCAATAAGTGCCTAAGGGCAGGAGGAAATGCCTAAATACTTAGGTATATAAGATATCCAGTAATGATGGGGGAAATAAGGCAATGAGCAGACTACTGTGTTGCAAATTTAGTAAATATGTTAGAAACTGATTACACATGAAGTTGTATGCAACTGCACACACTTAGAATACATTTCTAGACTAAAGCTGTGCACAAACCCCTCTTCTTTCTCTTACTAAAAGGCTTTAGATAGCTTTTGAGGGAGCTTTGTTTTAGTGGCCATGTCAATATGAGCAAGTAGCATGAGTGGTACTTTGTGTTGAGGCCCTGTTGTCTGCTTTCACGTTAAAACTGCTTTGCTTCTCAAGAAACCTTGCTATCATACAGGACTGTTCATAGCTTACCTTGTTTTAAATTTGTGTCCTAAATTGTTGATGTTTTCTGAATGTGGATTCAAGAGGCTTGTTTAATTCCTGAGTGAGTTAGAAATTTTCTGTTTAAATTATTTGTAACTGCTGTATTTTGAACATGCTTGATTAGTAAGATGCTTTTTCCAGAAATCAGTCTGAATAAGTTTCACAAGAAGAACTTTTGCTAGCCTTTTTTATTAATTTTCCAGGTTACTCAGAAAGCAGCATTTATTCAGGATTCAAATGACCATGGGTTAAGAATTCAGACATTTTATCTCAGTCTCTTCCTTATTGATTATTTTTTCACTTTTCAGCTTTTTCATTTCATTACATCACATCATGTCTAATATTCAGGGGAAAAAAAAGCAGATATACACTTTTCTCCTGCAAAGATTCCGTATTTCTTACTCATTTCTGAAGCCCCCATGGTTCAGGGAAAGGCATCCTGGCTCTGAAAGTTTTCTTTAATTCTGAGCAAAAACTGGCTAATGGCACATTTGCTTAACTGGGGTGTACTTTAAATAGTGGAGTTTTAGAAAACCATTAAACCATTCTGTATGCTTATTTTCTGTTCCTTTGGGTTATTCTTTTGAAACATGGCTAAGCGTATAAGGGCAATTTATTAACTGCCCTTCCTGTAGAAGCACCATAGATCTTTTTGTAGTCATATGTCATTGCACATACTAAACATTTAAGTGAGATTTTGTCTTATGTATTGCTGTTGATTTATGCCTGCTGAAACTTAGCCATTATGATTACTTTCACTGTGTTTGGGGAATTATAAGTGGCAGGAATTAAAAATAAAATGAACTAGTGATTCTTAAGAAGACAATTCATCACACACTTGTTCTCACACTGAAAATACTTTATACCAGAAACAAAATAAACAATTGCAGTGGATTTTTTTCTGACTTTTAAAATGAATTCAAGTAGGAAGTTTAATATTCAAAATACATTAGAAACACAGTTGTTGAGATGAAAGATGCCACTTCTTTTCTTATTTTGGAAGAGGAACTTTCCCATTGCCATAGTCCTTGTTTCCTTATCCAAATAGACAATAAAATTTTGATACATGATGGAGTAGTAGTAATCTTTTTATACCCCAACCTACAAAAGCCGAAGTCCACCTATTAAAAAAATGGGTAGAGGGAGAATTAGAAGTAACCTCTTCTTAAAAGCTTTAAAGGTTACCTTAAAACATCTCTTCATGGTTAAGATTTGGAGTCTGAGGACTTTGAAGGGCCAAGAAAAAATAGTGAGATCAGAAGTACCATCTTTCCACTGAGACATGGAAATTATCATATTCCTATGATAATTATGAGAAAACTGACCTCAAATAAGGTATTGCTTCCTAGGTAAATAGTAACCATATGTTTGTTATATGTAATACCTCTTCTTTTCTTTTTTTTGTTTGTTTGGGTTTTTTTCAAGAGATATCTTTAGGTACTGGTGAGAAGACTGGTGATTCAAAGTGGGCACATTTGTAGGCAGAATGCAAAATGGAGTGAAATCAGCAGCATGCTCAATGTAGCCTATCCTAGCATAGTCTGACTGTGGCAATGCCCACATGAGAAACTTCCATTAAATAAAATTAATATTTCTTGACTCCAGAATAAGAGAACTGGTGCTGAACTGGTAAGTTTAAGGGCTGGTATCTAATACATTTTATGTAGTTGCCAAGAATGGTAACTAATTATCTGTAGCTAAATCTTGAAAGAGGAATATTTTGTCTGGTCTATACAATTTTTCTGCCCACTCCACATCACAAATGTTTTCATCTGGATTTGTAAAAAGTGTTTCTGGGAGTGTCAGCTTTGAACTTTCTCACCAAACTAACTGACTTCATAGAAACTTTATTCAACCTTAGTGTCAGAATTTCTCTTTAAATGAATAAAAGTTTCTGTAAGTTGATATAGCAGCATGTTTAGTTGGTTACAATATAAGAACTTTAAAGTTAAGTTATTTGACTTACACTGTCATAGGAAATTGTTGTATACATTACCCCATGGGTCATGCCAAGTTTCCCTGAAGTAAGAGCAAAGAAGAATGAAGATACCACCCTTCCTGTTCTCTAGCTGATGAAATGTCACTGTATGAATCTATACCTTTACAGTTATTTTTGCTTTTCAAAGAGATAAAAATCTTGAGGAGCATTGTGAACTATTAACAAGACTGGTTCATACACCATTTTTTTAGTGGCTCCTACAGCCCATGGATTAAAGCACCTTTTAAGTGGTCACCAGTTTTTTGATATTGCATATGTCAGTGGAAAAAATATATATATTTAAATATATTTATAAAATATATATTTATACATATGTGTTATATAAATATATATATTATATATTATGTATAAAATATTTTATATATTTATAAAATATATTTGTGTGTGTGTCTGTGTATGTTTGTGTGTGTGTGATGCAAATACTATAGTGTATGAAAAATAGCAGAATTCTAGTGCCAAAAGCACTATTTTTTTTTCCTTCAGAATTGCACGGAGTTCACCTATGTTGTGTAATTTAGGTTGATTGTGCTTACTGTGAATAATTCAAAGTTTAAATAAACCCTTTCCTGATACCATGGTTTGTGTGCAATGAAATGTCACTAGCTGCATCCAGTTCTTCAGGAATAAGGCATGGCTCTCAGGCCAGCAGTTAATATTGCAGGCCAGTTCAGCTCCACAGGGTGAAATCTACCAGATGGTTTATAGATATCTGCTCCTATCATCTATAGTAGTCTGTGGCCTACAAAACTCTGCCTACAAATATCTTCAATTTTTTCAGAATAAACATCTGAGTAAAGCAGTTTTGGTTTTTTGATATATGATACCAGCCTAGACATGCATGTACCATTGTGCGTGTACTTTGTCAAGCAATGAAACCCCACTGGATTTTGTATAGTGTAGGATTTGCCTCTTTGACTTCCTCTGGGCAGGCGGTTCCAGGACTTTGTGTTGAATACAGCAATTGCTTGCTTCCTTTGTGCATATCAGTTTACCTGCCAAATAATTTCAAATCTGTTTTTTCGAGTTTCCCTGCCTGAACTGTGTGAAACCAGTTGTTGCTGTATGCACAGGTACACTGTATTCACATGTTCTCTCTGCAAGTGAAAATCAGCTTTCAATCTATACACTTAAATGCAAATCAGCAGTGGATGATGTTGCTGTAGTATCAATACTTCATAACAATAAATGGAGAGTCAAGTGTCTGTATACTTCTGTGCAGTGATGTCTGCCAGTATGTATCACTTACAGAGGTGAGATTCACTGAATCATACTTGCAAAAGTCTATTTAGCTGACATACTTGGCTTTATCCAACACTTCTTTCCTGAGGGAGAAACTCCTTAATGGAAGTACATACTTTTTGTAGGGTTCAGCATCTGTGATGGTAAGAAAGGAGAGATCCCTACTTGTGTCACAATAAGAGTGGTGTAATTTATGTAAAACAAATACATGTGTAGCTTATGCTGGGCCAATCAGTGTCTGCAATTCTTTCACAAGGTTATCTATGTATTTTTATATCCAATCTTTGCAATATTGTTAGACTAGTTTTTCCATAATGGGGTAACAAATCAGGCAAGTGTTCTTGCAAACATTTTCTTCTTTTTCTCCATAAAAGGGTATGTGTGCATATGACAATCTCTTTCGTAGTGGTTAATACCCTTGACAAGTTTTTAGTGTGATAGATGCTCTATTCTATTCCTATCATCCCATAATTTGGAGAGTCTGTAGCATAAAAAAAAACTAAACAAAAAGCCACTTAGACCAGTACATCTATTACTAATTGTTAAAACATGTCCTGATAGTTATGCAGAAAAATAGAAACACTCATTGTTTGATGCAGTTTTCCTGCATCAGGTTAGAAGGGATTGCTCAGTGCCACTTAATCCAGCCTTCCAGCTAGATCTGGTTGCTCAGGACTCTGACAATTCTCCAAGGGTGGATAATCATGATGTCTCCCACTGGCTAGCTGAAGACAGCAGAGCTCTCTTACAGCTAAAAAAATCCTTTTCTTTAAGTCAGTCCTCATACTCTGGGGAGCTTCAGTCTCATGACTATTTGTGGGCATCCACTGTACTTTCTTCCGTAGATCAGTGCTGTTGTTCTTGTACTGGGGCAACCAAAAATCTCAAGGCCAGTAAGATGATTAAGGGACTGGAACCACTGGAACATCCATTGTATGAGGACAGGCTGAGAATGCTGGAAGTTTAGCCTAGAGAGGAGAGGGTTTGGGGGATCTCATCAAGGTATGGTAATACTTGAAGGTACGGTGCAGAGGGGATGGAGCCAGCTGCTTTTTGCTCGTGCCCAGTGACAGAGGCCATGGGCTTAAACTGGAGGGTTTGTATGAACATCAAGAACCTGTTCTGCACTGTGAGAGTGATGGAACACTGGCACAGGCTTCCCCAGGGAGCTGTGGAGTCTCCATCCTTGGAGATATTCAGAAGTCAAATATGCTATTCAATGACTGCATTTGCCTTTGTTCATTTTCAAGAGCATTCAGTTGTCTCTTTCCTCCAGTCACTTGAGGAAAGATCACCCTTGCCCTCCAGCCTATTGGGTACTCCCTCATACCTTATCATCCATGATGCTGCAGGATGTGTACTCTGTCCCATTCTGTTGCTTGTTAATAAGGATATTAAAGAGAATTAAATGATGTTAAAGAGTGGAGAAAGACCCACTTTTGATATCTGAGGCACGACAATAGTAACTGGCTGCCAGTTAGACTTAGTATTACTGATCAGAACACAATTTGTATGAGAATCCAACTGATTTTCCATCTAGTTTATCCACTTTTTTAGCCTGTGTCTCACCAATGTTGCTAGAGTGATATTAGCCTGTGTCTCACCAATGTTGCTAGAGTGATATTACAGGGCACTATTGGTGGATTTGCTAAAATCAAAATAAGCATCATATATTAGTCATCCTTTGCCCATTCACCCTTAGTGACATTATCACTAAAGACATTTAGGTTGGTTAGACCCAGTTTATCCTCAGTGAATCCACACTGGGTATTTTCAGTCACCTGAAAAATACCTGAAGATGACCTTTTTCCAGTCATTGGGACCCTCCACAATTCCCATAATCTTTTGAAGACCGTGGAGAGCAGCCTTGCAATGCAATCAGCCAACCAGGACAATTGATGGGCCTCACTAGGACTCGTATATACAAAATTAGCTTCAGTGGTTTCTGATTTGATCATTGTTGTGGGCAATGCTTTACTCCTACAGACTCTGCTACTGACATGAAGAAGCAGGGACACCTAAGACAAAACTTGCATTTAATACCTCAGAATTTTCCATTTCATTTATCACTAGATCCACTGCCTTGTTAAGCAATGGTCTCAACTCTTCCTCAGGTTTTTTGTTGTGGTTTTGGTTTTTTTTTTGTTTTTTTATTGTTTTGCTTTGTTTTAGTTTGATTTGTTTGTTTGTTTTCTCCTGGCACTGAAGCCTTCCTTATTTTTTGTTTTCATATCTCTAGGTAGTTTTGGCTTCTGCTGAGCTGCGGCTCTCGTGTCTACATGCCTCCCTGCTCAGACAGTGTCTCTCCCAATTCAAGTGGTCTGTTGCAGTGTCCATCTCCTGTGGTCTTCTGCCGTCCTTGCTTGTTTTCCTGAGTGTCAGGAAGAACCATTCTTATGCTTTGATTTTGTTGCCCTTGAAAATCAGCCCTGTTGTCCTTCACGGCAGTATTCCGCATGTCCTGCCATACAGGTCCCTGAACAAGGCAAGATCTGCCTTCTTAAATGCCAGGATAGTAATTTTTGAAATTTATCTTGCTCACTTGACTCAGGATTTTAAACTCTGTAGTCATTGCAGGTAAGGTTTCCCTCAACTTTCACATCTCCAGCTGGTTCTTGCCTCTTCATGGAAGCAGGTCCAACAGAGAACCTACTTAGCTTGTCAGTTATCTGTATCAAAAAATTGTCATCAGTACGTGCTCCCCACTTAAATAGTTTTAAATAATTGAAAACTCTGTACTAGCCCCTGAACTGAAGTCACTAAGGAGTCACTGGAGTCACTAAGGTGACTCAGCCTACCTTAGACATTATTAGACCCACGTGCTTGTATGTTTTCATAAATAAATATCTGACCTAAAGTCCTGGATGGTTTTTAAGAAATTATTTAAGCATGGCAAAGTTTTGGTTAGAAAGACTGACTGGGTCATCAGCTTAAGTCATATGCTGTGAAAGTGTGTCATATGAGTTTGTTCACATCCTTTTGAGAAATTATTTCAGTGGTTTTTGCTCCTTTTGCTTATACTGGAAGAATGAGAACCTTCTGGTTCTAGTAGGCAACCTTCCAATTTCTGATATAACTTCTTCCTACTTAGTTCGCATTTCTTCCTGAGGGTCTAAATTACCCTTTAATTAAAAAAACCCCAACCTTTCCTTATCTTTGGCATTTATTGTTGTGATATTTATGGAAAGCCCAGTCCTGTCTCTTCAGGCTGTTTTGCTGTGATAAACAGTCCAAGCTGGTTAAAACTGCCGTAGAGAGATAGGCTCTTGATTCCCTTGATTCCCAGATGCCAATCTGTCTCATCTCTTTTTTTAATTACTCTTTATTGGATTTGAGTGATAGAAATCTACACCAACTCCAGATGAAAACTGTTTAATGCCTGAAGAGAGTTTCATTTGCTTAAAATTATGCTCACTTTGAAATCACTTAAGGCCATTTCATTCAACCCCCTTCACTAACTTGTACATTTTTGTCATATATAAACAGTGAAAAGTCTAGATTTAATTGAAAAATGGCTAAGATTTTGTCGCTTTTTCTTAATACCACATTTTTGCTATATTTGGTGGTATGTGGCACCAAGAATCATAGCTTTAATGAATATGGGCAGTTAGACAGTGCTATATAACACTTCCATCTTAAACACTGAGCATTTATATATAAATTAACCTGTGGACATATGTGTGTTTAGTGGGGGAAACATAAACATTTTGCCTTAACACTGTAGACAACAAACCTTTGAAGCAGAAACACACATATTTTTTAATCCTGTATTGAGAGTTGTTCTGTGCAGCCATTCAATTTGTGTAAGAACCTTGATAAAGTGTTTGTAGAGTTTTTCAAAACATTTCTAATTAAAATGAGGGCACCTAGAAAATTGAAGTGGAATCAAAAGCATTGTGGACCTTATATTCTTTTATTTTTATAAATATTTGAATTTTGATTACACAGTACTTAATACCACATGGTGAAATGTGATACTGGATCAAAGCTGTTGTTCACGCAGTAGCTGAGACTTGTTTAAAATGGCTGATTTATT